GAAGGGATTTAATACAGGACAAATATTTCTTGTATGAGGAACTTCCAAAAGAAAAATTCCATTATCTTTTAATTCAACTTTGTTTTGAAGCCACCATGTCCATTTTGATACTTGGAATCCATTGTTTCCCTCAGAATACAGTGTCATTCATAGCAATGACACTGAGTTATCAAGATTAATTTTAAATGTTTTATCCATTCTGATTAGAGGTATGCATATATTCTTTAAAACGTCCTAAAGTACATACAATTTGTATATAAAATTTAATTTCTGTAACATTACTTTTCAACTTCACTACCACATTATACTGCCCGAGTACAGCACATTATTGGATACATATGAGTATACATCTTAATTTTGCTTTAAAGTGTTGCATGAGAGAAAGGATACCGCCCTCAGGAGTCATGCCACTATCACTGAGTAAATCTACATTTCTGTGGGCTTGAGTTTCCTTAGAAGTAATGATTTTAAAAGTTCCCTTCACTCTAATTATCTTTATTGGGGGAAGAAGCACAAACGTTTGGAAATCACTCGTAGGATATTTATCTGACACTATGCTAGCAGGTCTGGCGTTTAGTGATAAAAAAACAAACTTGCTGTCATCAAGTCAATGCTGACTCAGAGATGCACAGTGGGTTTTGGAGACTAACCGTTCAGGGGAACAGAAAGCCCAGCCTTTCTCCCGAGGCACTGCTGGTGTTTTCAAACTGCCAGACATGCTGATCACAGCCCAATGCATAACCATTCTACTACCAGGCTTAGTGATTATGTGGCGCCTACAATAACTACATCGAATACAGGGTATGTGCATTCAATCAGATCATAGCCAATGAGGCCTCTGTGTAGGCAGGGCTTTCTCCTGAGAATTCTGGGAAATCTGGTATTTCCTCCTTGGAGGTGGGAGAGACTCTCAATTCACTCCCTTGGAGACACTCTACTGACAACACACATGGTGCTATGCCCTGGGAGCTGGAGAAGCCACAGGGACCTACCGTGATGCAGCCCTGAAGCTGGAGAAGACATGTGCAGATCCCTGCCAACGCTGAGATGCTTACAATGCCACTGGATCCAAAGCTTTTCTACCCACTGGCCTGTGATCTTCCTGCACTAGGCAGCATCATTGCATGTGTTTCGTGAGTCTCAAGAGGAATTTATATCTTGGTATCAGACATATGGGCTATATTGGACTTATGGGTTTGGACTGGACTGCTTGTACATTCTTAAGGTACAATTATCCTTTATATAAAACTCTCTCTTGGATGAATAACTCGCTATTGCAAAAGGAGTGTGTACTGGCCTGGATCAGAGATGAATTAGGAAATTTCTAGAAACCCAGAAAGAGAACATGACGTACCAAAACTTATGGGACACAGAAAGGCAGTTATCAGAGGAAGATTCATAGCAATAAAAGCACACATAAAAAAAGGAAGAGAGACTTATGATTGATATGCTGCACAAAATTTACAGCAACTTAGTCAACAGTACAATCCTACTAATAGAAAAAAAAGAAATGATAAAAATCAGGGCTGAGGTTCAGGAGAGGGAAAGTAAGAAAACCATGGGAAAAAGTAATGCTGCTAAAAGCTGGTTCTTCAAAAGGTTAAACAGAATTGACAGACCGCTGGCAAATGTAACCAAAGAAAGGAAGGAACAAATTCCAATAGCAAGGATGAGGGATGAAACAGAGGACATTAACACAGACCCCAATGAAATCAAAAGGATAATTACACAGTACTATGAAGGACTGTACTCCAATGAATTCAACAACCTGGAAGACATGGACAAATTCTTAGAAAAAACAAATCCCTCCCTAGACTATCCCTGATGGAGTTCAAGAATCTCCATAGACCTATAATAATGGAATAAATAGACAAGGTTATCAGGGGATTACCAACCCCCGTGGTCCCCTCCCTCCCCCCAACCCAGGACTAAATGGATTTGCAGGATAATTCTACCAAGCATTCAGGGAAGAACTGACTGACACAAACTCTTCCAGAACATAGAAAAAAACAGAAAACTCCCGAACTCTTTCTATGACGCTAGTATAACTCTGACACCACAGCTGGGCAAGGGTCCCACAAGAATCAAAAACTACAGACCAGTATCCCTAATGAACATCAATGCAAAAATCCTTTAAAAAATACTAGCCAATAGAATACAAAATCACATAAAACAAATAACTCACCATTACCAAGTGGGATTCATACCAGGGATGCAGGGATGGTTCCACATATGAAAGCCCATCAGTATTATTTGCCACATTTTAAGAACCACATAATATCAATAGATGCAGAAAAAGCATTTGACAACATCCAACACCAATTCTTGTTTAAGACACTCAAGAAGATAGGAATGGAAGGAAAATTCAATATGAGCTATATATGAAAAACCAATGGCCAATGTGGTAGTAAATGGAGAAAAGATGAAAACAATCCCACTGAAAAAGGGAAACAGACAAGGATG